CCGGGTGTATCTTTTATCGTACACCCCGGGGGTGTACGAATTTGCCGTACACCCGGGGTGTAAGTTAAGGACACCCTTTTTGAAAAGAAGGGCCTTTCGTATGATTTACTATTAAAATTTTGTACCTGGTCATTTATTGGAGGGGGCTCCAGCAATGCTAGAATTCGCGGAGACTAATGCTAATTGGGTATACTAAGGCTTTTTTTCGATTGTTCAATGCTATTTAAAAAGATCGCTAACTGATTTTCTTTGCAATCCTTCAATTTCTAATGATTCTTTTTTGGGCTGTTTGACTTCCGACTTATCGAGAAAATTTTAAATATGACAAAGCATTATAAAAAAATTGATTATCATTATCAATACTCCAACAGTGTGAGACTTTATTATACATGCGTACTACAGTCACTTTTAACATCAGCTACCTAATATTACATACTGGATGGGGGAGAGCTAGAGTGATTACATGTTGAAATGAATTTGAAAGAGTGTGTGGTGTGAGGAAATATCATTAATATACAAATAATAATCATACGAGTAAATCAAACTTTTATCTTTCTAACAATCAATCCTCAGATGTTTCAATATCCTTCTCAGTAGGCGCCTCGATATCCCCCTTGTGAGTGTCATCATTTACGACGTTTTCTACGCTTACAACGTAATCCTGTAAAAAGAACTCCAATGCAAGATGTCTTTTTTCTATCGCTTTCAATTTCTGGTCGACCGAAAGGTCATCTGATAATATAGGACCTGAGAACGGAATATTTGGACTTAGACTTTTGTGGAGGGTTGACCTAACTTTGCGGCGGACGCACGGCAGATTTTGAATCAAACCCCATGGACCTATTACGTCGGCGCCTGCGAAAAAGAATCGATATAGAGCTTAACAAAATACGCACGCTTGACAGAAAAGCAGAGTAATAAATCCAAGGATGTGGATAGAATTTCGTTCACATACCGAATAAGAACATATAAATTGTCATTGCAGCAGTGTAAATACCACCCACAGCACTGATGAGATCAGTCACCGTCAAATCGCTAATATTAAGGAGTTAAACATATGTTAGCATAAAAGTATTTATTAACATTAGCAATATTTCTTTTTTCATTTGAGCAGTTTGTGTCATGTATACTTACGAGTTTTCGGTTTCCGTTACGACTATATAAGAATTGGGTCTCATAAGTACAGCCGCGTAACTTCCGACAACGAGGTTGGGGTACGATACTAAAAGCAAAATGTGCGATTAGTATGTAGTTTCTCTCGATAAAGCGGGCCTCCCTAACTAAATAAGGTATAATACTTGTTTCTCTAACTTACTGAGTATGCTGCTTATCATTGTTATAGGTTTATGATCACCGTTTCCAGACAGCACGTTTTTAGCATTTTGGTGAAGGGGACTTAATATTCTGCGTGAGTAAAAGAGGGCGTACGTCTAATCACGTGAGGATTGTTGTTATTAGTATATCGTGGAGTTAACATATCAAAATATAATTATTTCATTGATTGACATGTTAGAATCCGCTCACCTGGTTGTTAGCGATATAGTAGGAGTTAGCAAGCGCTACCGTAGACTCATAACCAGAAACTCCTTTTATGCGTGGCGTTTTGGACGCTGATGCCAAATCAGACTCCGTATCTAAGAGTTGTTTTTTTTTAATCAGAATTGTTTTTGTTGCATAGCATAACAATTTTGCTCATGTAACTTGTGTGGAATACATTAATTGTATACCTTTATCAGCAAAAAACGCTTCCACGGCAGCATCGCCGCCAGGAAACGTTGGATCCGTTATATAAACCGCCAATTGAATGCCTAATAAGGCACTTGCATTATCGGTAGGGTTATCAAACTCTAAGGCAGGTGCACTGAAGTTTAACGAGTAGCCACCGAAATATGGATAGGTGTTGGTGACATACTTATTACAACCGCCAGTCGCTAAAATACCAAATTAACGCACACGTATCAATATTGGTTATTAACAAATAGAAAATAACGTCACTGTTTCAACATACAATCATCATAATAGACCGTCTGGCAGTCGATTGTGAAGTTATAAGAAGAGAAAAAAGTAGCTCCTGAAAGAAAGAGAGAATGACTTAATATTAAATTCAATATCAGTTTCATTTGCTTAATAGGAAAGATTACGTACTTGGGGCAGGAATGGGGCTACTATCGTCTTCTTTATAGCTTAAAGTTCTCTCATTTTGGCTCAGCTTATATGCTTTCCAGCCAAAATAGATTAATACGCCTATGTAGCAAATCCATAAAGATATTATTTTCGACCTTTTGATAGCAGTGAGCTCAGAACGTCGTAAAGGAAATAGGTTGTCAATGAAATTTTTTATCATGGTGAAATATAATGAAAATTAAATCGTCGATACTGGTCAATATATTTTTAGGGTATCCTTTTGTTATTATTATGCAAAGATAATCGCGACTATTGGGGAAAAGCGCGGGGTTTTATAACTTTTATCTTTGGTGTACTGTTGTATATTTAACAATATTATCAGATGATGATCTATTGTTTGGATAAAACTAATAGTAACACAGAGACAATGTCAAGTAACAAATTGTGATTTTCGTCATTGTCTGCAATTTAACCTAATCTGACTGTTTTGGCGTACAAATGTGTTTGTGTTCGGAACTTTTTTTTTTGGATCTTTCGCCAAGGGCCTGCGCTACAGCAAAAGAATCATGTGATAAGGATGCCCGTAGTCTTTATTGCGGGGTCATCAAGTCGGGTTTACCCACGAACAAAATTTAGTTGTTTTGTCTGGAAGTCTATTTTTCATATTATCACTCAGAATTGGTGCTTGGCAAAACTTGTTTTCGGACAAGATTGAAGATGGCTTTGTTTTTACCGAATGGTTATCTTTTGTTAGCATGTTAAAATTATGTGCAGCAATCACTATTGTTTGTACCCCCACGACATATTAACTTTGTGCAACTCCACAAACTTTTTTTTTTTTTAATGAAAAAAATTTTCTACTTTTTTAAGCAAGACCGTCGACAGCCTAAGTTCTTAAACATATACTATATCTTCTGGATTGTCGTTCATCGAACCAAGTTTCCAGAAGGAGCATACGTAAGTAATTTTCCAGAATTCTTCACGTTAAAAGAATTTGAGCTTTAAGCGGTTGCGTTTATCAATCGAATGCAGGGGAAGATAATGACGTGACCAGATATTGAGTTCAAAACTAGCAGTTGAACAAGATTTATAATTAAAATAAATACATTTATTTAATAAGCACGCTAATAGCAGTGCATAAATAAAGTACGTTACCATATTAACATATAGAACTTGTCCACAACGTCACCGTGTTGCAGACAAAACCAAAAAAAATATTGCAGATGTAATAATCTATTGTCACTTATTGGAACAGAGCACTTCCTTAAAATCGGACTTCATTATGTAATACAGTAATAGCAAATGGCGTAAGCTAGGAAACGGATAGAAAATGTTGTGTTTGAGTTGGGGACCTGTCTCAGTCCAGAACTCAGTTATCTCGGTCCAGAACCGAGACAGGTAGGTGCAGCATACCTAAAATTCAAAATTGTCCGCAGTGAAACTAGTACTAGCTTGACATCGAGTTATCCGATCACAAAGTTTTGGCTTTTTTTTGTCTCTGCTAAATCTTTCCAATTTTAGCCAACAGCTAGGTAATAGTAACATGCCACAAACCAATATTTGCGAGATGTAAAGTCCGTGCTACCAGTATAGCAGTAAAAATAGCCGTACCACGTTTGAAAATGGAGTCAGTACTACTACGTATATGATGTTGGGGTCATGTTATCATCAAGGTTTAAATCACTCTATCATTTGCCGTGTTACCCAGTCAAAAATGTTGGCTTTACTCTTGTTTGAAGCCTATCGTTGCGCTTGAGTATGAGTGTCAACTATTATTGTTTTTTACAAAAGCTTTTTCACGAGCATAGTTATCTGATGGTCATCCTTTTCTTTGACAAGCGTGCACGGAGTTTGCAATATTTGCACCACGTCACACTGGGTAAATACTATGCATGTGAATTCTGCTTTGGAAACATTTCCGTTTACAGAAAGCCTTTTTTTTTTCGTGTGCAAAATTTTTTTAAACGAGTCGTTTATTAATTAATCACAGACTGACTGTATCTTCTAAATTGCCATTTTATCAGACTAGGTTTGCAGAAACAAATATAGATAAGTGTTTGAGATTTTAATTTTAAGCTTATGCGCTTGTTTACGTGTGCTAACGCAGGGAGAAATATGGTCAGGTGAACAAGTGTTGACGTTACACGACGTTCGACTTTGCTTATGGACACACGTTTCTGAATGTTCTAAGCGAGCCATTGTAATTATTTTAATATAAAGTCACACAAGTTCGCTATACAGATACATTCTCTTATCTGTTTGTATGCTGTGTGTCTATTACTATTGCCGAAACTTTCTGAACTCCGAAAACCAAAGTTGCCCGAAATGGATTCTTTATCAGTGTTGTACGAACCCATTGTAATACAACGGATAGACTAACACGACTGGAGATTGACTGGTGTGAAAATGGTAATGCATGAATGAAATTCTTAAAATGATAGAACAGCACAACAGATTTGTTTATGTAATCGACTTGAGGAACGTTACCATATATCAAATTTTGTTACCGTGACGTGCAGACAAAACCAAAAATATACTAGACGATGTATTAACTTCGAATAAACAGACATGAGATAATCAAGCAGTAAAGATAATGTTCTATTGATTACTCACTTTATCGGAACAGAGCACTTTCTAAATCGGACTGCATTATGTAATAACAAATGGCGTAAGCTAGGAATTTTGAGGAAACAGTCAACCCTCCATATATGTAAATGTCTTATTCCCCAAGCTTGGGAGTTAGTATTTACACCCTCCATATGCTCCCACTATATAAAGTCTACCCTCTCTATGTGCACGCCCGCGATTTTCTTGTGATTTGACAAACGATAATTTATATTAAGCGAGATATTTAAATGAATGGATCTTAACTTACCTAATAGCATTGATTGATGAATTTTTGAATAACCCCCGGGAAGAAGAAATAATTATAAAGTGCCCAATGACGACGCATTCATTGAAGAGCTTGACAAAATCAGACATTCATATTGATGATAGTGAAATTGATGTCAACGATGCTATAAAGGGTTAGAATTAGTTTCATTCCCTTTCGCAACAACAAGGGAATTACTCAAACATGTTAATGCTCTTGATTATTATATTGGTTTAAAGTTGGTGAATGCAAAGAAACAAACAACGATGGTCAATTTTTTTAGTCAGCAACAGTAGAGTAAACGGTTATTTTATTTTTGTCTTTCATTATACAATATATCAATATTACGTGCAACCAATAAGATGCTATATGCAAAATAAACTTGTTTCATTTTTCCATAATCGAAAAAAAACCCACCCCAACCAACTTATTATTCTAAAGCTGAAAATATTCGGCGATGAGGCTTTGTGAACATAGCAAGTAATTTTCTATATCAGTTATTATTATTTATTGCTTAAAAAAACAAACGCTATCAGTTTCAATTGTATAACACATGATAAAGTAATCCTGCTTAAAAGCCAGAGTCTGGAATATGTATTTTACTTTACATCGTCCATATGGTAGTATTTTTATAGATCCATAGTTTATCTATGAGTAAATAACATTGCTTGTCAATTTTTAACATGCCAAATTATAATAATAATTTCTTGATAACTTGTCGGTTGGGCTACTGTCGTAGATTCTATGTCTCAATGCCTGGGTTGTAAAGTTGCTACCTGGTTGAGTAGTGTTTCCCTGCTTGGTCGTTCCACTTTGCAAATTGCGTTGGTAGCGCATTACGGCTTTGCCTGATCACAGTATATTAATAGTTAGTGATGACAATATTTTTAAGGCAAACAGACATTGAACTAGTGCAGGTACTGCTTAATAATATTTTTATAAAAAAACTTACAAATCTTAGTGCTTTTACTTTCGGTTTTGTAGGTTTAAACTTTTTGTAGAAACTCAGACATAGAATATAGAGTAGAGAGATCTTTGACTTTCCGCCTAAAACTCGGCGATAATCGTTTTCTTTTTATTTTTTCCCCTTTGTTTGTATACGACCTATTAATGTTCTGACCCAAATCGCAGTTGGGAGTTCAGATCAAAATAAGCTCAGAGTGAGTATTTATTTTGACATTGTCAGATAATTTATGCACAACGGTTGTACACACACTGTAACAACCGGGTATATACTTATCGCATACTCTACTACTGAATACTATTACTAAGTCTGTGGCTAAAAAGTCTATGTAAAGATTCTGTGTGATGAAGGTACGTGTACTTGTTAATCTTTATAGGTTGACTGGTGGTGCTGTATTTATAAGTTATGATTAACTGAACGTTTCGGTCATTTATGGCAGTCAGACGATTTAATAACAATCGATCACAGAATAAGTTTTGATAAATTTATTGTTAGCGTTTTAAGAACATATTAATATATGTTTCAATCACTTCATGATGATAAGTTTCTAAATCGATGATAGATCATATCGATCATATGACTACCTCTATCTCTCGTGCTAATTAATGAGGCTTACCTGTCACCTAATCGCCATATCAAAGTTGCTCTGATCCGAGAATTGCAAACCAGGCAATCGAAATTTTTGATGGTTCAAATATGGGCGCAAATCCGAAGTTCAAACACTGGATACAGCATAAATTCACTGTGATGCATATTGGCAAAATGAAACAACTATTACTAAAGAACAACCGTGTGTGTTAAAGAGAATATATATGATATAATCTGTGCTATACATGACGATTTATAACATGCTGGCATTTCATGAGCTCCAACTTTCATGCATGTAGCATTGCACAAGTCAATGGCTTATGCTAACCCTAGTATCAGCAAAGCCCACGTAAGTGTTGGAGTTTGTAAAAATTAAACGGCTGACCTTGAGCTAGCAGACTTCATGAGTTGAAAGACATACTAATACGACTGTTTCACTGACTGAAGCGGCGAGACGTCTAGCGCTAGTTAATAGTGAAGATCAAACACATAGTCAGACTGTTCAACAACAAAGTGTTTGTGTAAGAGGTGAATAACATGTGGTCAGTTTTATTAAATATCGTTCGTTTTCTGAAATAAGGGAAATAAGGGATTTACTATTCTCAAAAAATGTACATCAATATCCTCCTGTTTATACATAATGATATCTGTCCAACCGTAGTGCAATGTGACTATGTCGAGCAAGTATCACTCTGAGCTTATTTTGATTTGGGCCAACCCAGATCGAATTGCGATTTTGCAGTCGACCCGATTTCGAATTGGGTCAGAACATTAATTTAGGAAGAATTTTATAAATGACAAAAGTTTTGTGAATATTAATATTTTTTTTAACAAATTACACGATTGGATGAGTTACACATAATGTTTAAAAAACCTCGTTGATGAGATAGAATTTGTAGGGACTCTTACAGGAGTTCACTGCTGTCAAGAAAAACAGTAATAGAATATTAGAAGTAGGAAAAAAAACCCAATTACTGTATTGTCATCGAATAAGACCATATGAACTCCTCAATAAAATTAAAAATCACGAATGCTATTACTATTGCGCTCGTCATAATAATATATGTGATATGACACAAAATTTTAATAGTAAAACATACTGTATGAAAAGCCTTTCTTTTCAACAATCTCTCATGCCCTTGTGTACTATGCAAAGCACGATAGTTTTTGTATTATTTTGAAGCTAATTGATTGTGCCTTTCGGGGAAAAAAACAACAAAACTTTATATAATACAGTATAAATCAGTAGCTCGACGAAATGTTGTATACGTGCTATACATACATTTTCATACATTTTCATATCATGATTCCAAGACAGCTACTTCAACTTGCTAGCAATAGTCTTATTTTTTTTCCCTCGAAAGACACAATTAATTAGCTTCAAAATAATACAAAAACCATCGTGCTTTGTATAGTACACAAGGGCACGAGAGATTTTTGAAAAGAAGGGCCTTTCATATGTTTTACTGTTACCTGGTCATTTATTGGAGGGGGCTGTACATAGGTAAACCAAGCTAATATTACATACTGGATACTTGCGAGGTGAAATAAAGAATACAAGTTAGGCAAGATGGGGGAGAGCTGGAGTGATTACATGTTGAAATGAATTTGAAAGAGTGTGTAGTGTGAGGGAATATCATTAATATAGAATAATAATCATACGAGGAAATTAAACTTTTATCTTTCTAACAATCAATTTTCAGATATTTTAACACCCTTCTCAGTAGGCGCCTCGATATCCCTCTTGTGAGTGTCATCCTTTACGATGTTGTTTACGCTTACAACGTATTCCTTTAAAAAGAACTCCAATGAAAGCAATCTTTGTTCCACTGCTACAACTTTCTCGTCGCTTGAAAGATTTTTTGATAATATAGGACCTGAGAACGGAATATTTGGACGTAGACTATCGTAGAGGGCTGACCTAACTTTGTGGCGGACGCACGGCAGATTTTGAATCAAACCCCATGGATTCATTTCATAGGAGCCTGTGGGAAAAAAAAAGCAATCGATATATTGACGTTTAACAAAATACGCATGCTTGACAGAAAAGCAGAGTAATAAATCCAAGTGGATAGAATTTTTTCACGTACCGTATAAGAATAGATAGATTCCCATTGCAGTAGCGTAAATACCACCCACAACACTGAGGAAATCACCCACCGTCAAATCGCTAATATTAAGGAGTTAAACATATGTTAGCACAAAAGTATTCAATAACATTAGCAATACTTCTTTTTCATTTGAGCAGTTTGTGTCATGTATACTTACGACTTTTCGGTTTCCATTATGACTATATAAGAATTGGGTCTTATAGCTATATTTGCGTAGCCCTCGACAAAAATGTTGGGGTATGATACTAAAAGCAAAATGTGCAATTAGTATGTAGTTTCTCTCTCGATAAAGCGGGCCTCGCTAATTAAATAAGGTATAATACTTGTTTCTCTAGCTTACCGAGTATGCTACTTATCATTGCTATAGGTTTGTGATCGCCATTTCCAGACAGGACGTTTACAGCAGTTTGGTGAAGGCGACTTAATATTTTGCGTGAGTAAAAGAGGGCGTACGACTAATTACGTGAGGATTGTTGTTATTAGTATATGGTGGAGCTAAAGTATCAAAATATAATTATTTCATTCGTTGACATGTTAGAATCCGCTCACCTGGTTGTTAGCGAAATAGTAAGTGTTAGCAAGCACTGCCGTAGACTCATAACTAGAAACTCCTTTTATGCGTTGCATTTTGGACGCTAATTCCAAATCAGACTACGTATCTAAGAGTTGTGTTTTTAATCAGAATTGTTTTTGTTGCATAGCATAACAATTTTGCTCATGTAACTTGTGTGAAATACATTAATTGTATACCTTTATCAGCAAAGAACGCTGTCAGACCAGCATCGCCGCCGGTAAACTTTGGATCCGTTATATTAACCGTTAATTGAATGGCAAATAAGGCATTTGCATTATCGTTAGGGTTATCAAACCCTAAGTCAGGTGCACTGAAGTTTATCGAGTAGCCGAAATCTTGATAGTAATAGGTGTCACCGACATACTCAGTACAATCGCCAGTTGCTAAAAATCAAATTAACGCACACGTATCAATATTAGTTATTAACGAATAGACAAATAACATCACTGTTTCAACATACAATTATTATTATAATAGCCCGTCTCGCAGCTGATAGTGAAGTCAAAAAGAGAGAAAAAAGAAGCGACTGAAAGAGAAAAAGAATGACTTGATATTAAATTGAATGTCAGTTTTATTTGCATTAATGGGAAGATTACGTACAAGGGGCAGGAATGGGGCTACTATCGTCTTCTTTATAACTTAAAGTTCTCTCATCTTGACTCAGCTTAAATGCTTCCCGGCAAAAATAGATTAATACGCCTATGTAGCAAAGCCATAAAAATAATATTCTCGACCTTCTGATAGCGGCGAGCTCAGAACGTCGTGAAGGAAATCTGTCGACAATGAATTTTTTTATCAATTTTGTCATGGTGAAATATAACAACGGGGGGGGGGGTGAAAATTTAAATCGTCGATATACTGGTCAATATATTTTTAGGGTATCCTTTTGTTATGCAAGGATAATCACGACTATTCGGGGTATTTATAACTTTTATCTTTGGTGTACTGTTGTATATTTAACGATTCTGCAATATTATCAGAACGTGATGACCTATTGTTTGGGTAATTTTTTATAAAACTAATAGTAACACTGACAATGTCAAATAACAAATTTTTAAACACACAAGTCTTTTTGTCATTGTCTAATTTAACCTAATCTGACTGTTTTGGTTTGCGTTCAGATCTTAAACAAAGTTTTGGGCTCTCCAGGGCCTGTGCTACAGCAACACAAAGCAAAAGAACTCATGTGATAAGATGCCCGTATCACGTCAGAACAAAGTACAGTCGACCCTCCATATACACACCAAGTCTTATTCCCAAGCTAGAGGGAGTTAGTAAATATATGCACACCCTCTATATTCTGCATTGGCCCCTCCCTATATGCGCCCCGTGATTTTGTACAACAAATGATAATTACCATTACACAGGATATCTAAACAAAGTAAAGATCACACAAAGAGTGTTACTTGCATATTGCGTTGTCTTATTGGTTACACTTTGTTTCTATTTGAAAGAAATTCGTGAATCGTTCGTTGTTTAACACAGTCTTTATCATTCCTTCGTTTAATATTAACAGGTCAGGTAAATAAAGAATTAATGACGGATAAAGAATTTTGTAATC